AGATGTACCTACCTCTTTCTCTATCCATGTACATATAGATGGGGCATGCATGCCAGACACGAGATGACAACCGCAGAGTGATGCCTAGTGTAGTCGGTGATACACATCGCGGGCCTGTGGTACGAAGAGCGGACTTCATGTGCAGCATGTGGAAGAAAGAAGGACATGTTCACATGTGCATATATATATATNNTATATGTATTTATTTATTTATTTATAAATGTTATGCAGCCTCTGGTTTAGCCTGCTATGGCGTCCATATTAGTGGTTGAGGGTTCTTGTTGGCATTAATCGTTTGATCTCGGGTCCATTGTTTTGCAGGAAATGGGCAACGCATCCCAAAGTCTTCCAAACTCTGTTTTACCACAAGTTAAAGTCCCACACCTAAACCCGACCAGAAGCTGTGGTAGACTAAGATGGGGGCTCAAATAAATAGCAATACCGATTTCGGGGGCTCAGTATAATGTACCCCAAAACCGCACCGTATTCTAAATGATCAGTGCCCCTATATTCGAGCCCGTTGAGGTGGTCTCAGAGGAGGTCTGCAGATGGTCGTGCTCTCAGGTTGCGAGTAACATAGGGTTTGAAGAGTTATCATCAATAATGATAGTAACACAGCACTAACACACAAAATGTAAGCACAAACATGATGACGATCACAAGGTAGAATAGTAGCCATGATTATTGTTCTTGTTAATCTGTTGGGGAAGCACAAATCATGGTAATGGGTCATCACCATCAAATAAGCTCATATCCTTGAAGAATTTGCCAACAGTCTATCGTTGGAGCAAGTTTGAGAACAGATTTGTATCATTGCCTGCTTCATAAGTTAACAAAAGAGCCACATTAAGAGGAAGAACGAGAAGGAACGGTAACGCTACTGGAAGAACAAGGCGAAGGACGAACTTAACAATCCAATCACAGTATAATGCTCCTGAATATATGATATTGAAAGCACAGTAGAAACTGAAAGATAAGTACTCAGTTATTTTGATATTTATCATTACTTCTTCGGAGTTTTCTTTGGCGGTGTTGAAAAAACTCCTGCTTGCCCTTCTTCTTAACAGTTTCACTGCTTGGATGCAATGAGAGGCTTTTCTGGCACATGCCACGAGCATGTTGGGACCACTTTTTCTGATTGGGCCCTGCAATAGCCGAACAAGGCAGCCGATCGAGGGTGCATCCTTCCTCCCAGGCTATGCTGGAGGCAGGCGGAAGTGCAAGCAAGAGCCTTCAACATGTAAGGTCGGCGCTGACTTGCAGTGCAGCTGCAGCTCTTATTAAGCGGTTTGAAATTGACACGTGTATAGTATTACGGTCACAGTCAATGCTCACAGGTTTCGAGGAGCAGGAGCAGGATGTGGCAATGTAGTCTGCATGACTGCATGCTCCAGGCGTCCCAGTTGCTGCTGGCTCCCTTGCGACGGCCAAGGCTGTGTGGCATGCCGCCACTTGAGCAATTGTTACAGGTCCTTTGTCTGGCAGAGAGGATTGTGACTCGTAGAGGCCCAAAGATACTCGCCCCGATCCTGCACCCAGCTTCAATGTCGACGGAACGCTCAACCTTTTCGCCCAACATTCCAAACATTCGCACTTCGTTCAGGGCTCAGTTTGCTTCAAAGTGTTCCTAATATAAACCGCAGCTGAACCCAAACACCACAAGCCGTCTTCAGTGCGTCAAGAATTTCGGGCGGAAGCCTGATGCCCTCGTTACAACCCCAGCCCTACCGCAGAGCCTCGAAACCCTAAGGGTACTTAGAGGATCATGGGGCTTAGTAACTGAAGTTATAAGTGTAACTATACTTATAACCCCAATTAGGGTACTTATAACCCTACTTACTAAGTCCCAAGATCCATTAACCCTAAACCCTAAAAACCCTAAACCCTGAACCCTAAACCCTAAACCCTAAACCCTAAACCCTACTTACTAAGTCCCATGATCCTTTAAGTACCGTAAGCCAGGCCATGGGATGCCAAGTGAACCTCAACTGTCAACGTGTCCACTCTGTGCCGAAGCCACTGTGGCCGAATACTTTACAACGCTATAAAAAAAGAGGCTTTGATAAATAGACGAGGGTTTTGGGGCCTCTTAAACTATATAATGACAATAAGGAACCTATATTACTTGCATTCTTTCCGGGCTGCCCCCTTCGAACTATTTAATTGCCCCGAGACGGTATGCCCGTTGACGGGCCGTTCGGGCTTGGCGATAATCCCAGCAGCACTCGCTCAAGGGTGTTTTCTCGGGAGGCCGTGTGGGCCGGAAAGACTTGAGGGCCTCAATATGTTTTGAATAGGGTTTGAGGGTAATGATGTGATACCGAGTGATACCTTTGTTCAATAGTGACTATGAGAGCACAAGATTAATTACTAACTTCCGAACCCCCTAAAGTAGGCAGAACTAGAGCTTTCTCTACAGTAGAGAGACTTGGAGGGTAGGTTGCTTTGTACAGGAGAATACACGCCCACATGCGCAGCTCGTGCTGTTTATGCAGCATGTCCGCACAGGTAAGCTCCATTAGGGCTTAGGTTTGAGGTGTTGCGCGTGGTGTGTAGATTCAATTGAGGATTTTGTTGTGAGCTCAGGATATGTTGCTAGAGTTGAGTCAGGAATTGGAGTATGGCCCAGGGTTCACAGCTGCAACGCATGCTGCTTGTGCCGGCAGGCACACTGCACGGCGCTTGGCCCAGACCTGAGTGGTGTTGTGATGTCGGGCTTAGAGTACAGGATGCACAGCTCAGCGACCCGAGCCCGACACCCTCAAGTTAGGGGCCTTCATAATTAGAAAAGGATTTTGGGGTTTATTATACCGGGATTATATCAGGGACGATAATATAGGCTTTGCAGGTTGACTTGTGGATTGAATTGAAGAATCGGCCTTGTGTTCCCGTGACAAGACATTGCATGCTGGTGGCGGCCGTTTAGGGCTTAGGGGTTTCGGGTTTAGGGTTTCGATGCAAAAAAGACATGAATCATCAGGCATGTACGGCGAGTATTGCCAGATCAGCAAGAAGAAGGTTGCGGTCCCCAATCTCAATCGCAAGCCGTGAAGGCGAACCCCTTCAACACACAGCCCGACAACGCAGGCGGACACACTAAGCGTGAGTCCTAAGTTCCGAAGCTCGGTTCAGTCCGAAACTTGGAACCATCCTCAGCAAAATATACTGCTGCAGGTTCTGCTCAGCCAGCATTTTCAGTCCGGAGGCTTGACACCTGAGACTCGCATGTAAACCTGTAAAACCTTACTACATGCTGTTATACCACTCTTTAGAGGCCTAAATTGCACACAACTCCTATATTATGTGTGTATATATGCATACATGCTCATGCACATTGCTGTGTGACAGCCGTCGGCGTACTACATCCTGACGATGACGATCATGACCGTTTTTCATACTTGCAGAACTTTTCACGAATCAGCATCAGGCGTGTTTCCCAGTATATTCTCTTATGCTGCATCAGACGTTTGATTAAGCCCTAAACCCTCCAACGCTGCACCTTCAACCCCTAATAGCCAGCAACACCCTAAGCCCGAAGCCCCAGCAACAATCCGCATGTCAGTTCAGGTTCGAACTGCTCTGGGATAACTTGGCAGCCTTGCAGGCGGCAGCTCTTCGAACTCTTGTAAAAACAAACAGGCTTGAGATTAGGGGGTTTTAGGGTTGACTAGGCGTGGTATTCTGAAGCGTAGGGCACTTGAATGCCGGATTGTGCCCTGACTTCCTGGTAATAATAGCATAATTTTCCGGTTCAGGTTTCGGTGTTGGGTGATCCTAACCAAAGAAAGGAACGTGCAGTATGGCTACACGTACCTGCACATCCCAAACCAGGATGCAACCCATATGTCGCCCCAGGTTTGCACACACGTCCCCTTCTCACCTCCGTGCGACACGGCTTCTCCTTCACATGGGCTTCAAAAGGGAATTAGACGGGGCTGAAGCGGAGGGAAGGAGCACGCCAACACTTTCGGCGTCAGGGCTTAAAACGCCGGGGGGATACCTTTGGGGGAGGGGGGAGGCTGCGAACGCGGGACGGACACATCTAGACCCCCTGCAACCCTTTTTAAGCTACATGAAGAAACCTCTCGATACCCTACAAGCCTCATGTCACGTCACTAGAATTGTGTGCTTCGTACCTACTCTTGCGAAAACCTTTACGATGCTGCTGCTGGGTGCTGCAAAGTCGTGGTATTAGTAGTTGTGGTAGTTGTCGTGGCAGTAGTAGTAGCAGGAGCAGCAGGAGCAGCAGGAGCAGCAGTGGCAGCAGTGGCAGCGGCAGCCACAGTAGTGGTAGTCAGTCGTAGTCGTTCTCCCTGTTCTCATCTTCGCAGTCGTAGTCGTCCTACTCGCAATGCTTTGGGCTGTATTTAAACACCGTTTCTTGCCTCCGACAAAAGTCTGACCCTTGGTGTTCGCGTTCTTGAGTATAGAAGCATGTGCTGTGCAGATCTGTCCAAGGCCAGTCTGGCAATGGTGCCCGAACAGACCCCCTGAACCTCTTGGTTGAGCGACAACCGGAAGACTTCAAACTGCAGGCAGAAATTCCGAGGATCATTTTGGGTTGGTGTCGGAAGGTATAGATTCATTCCTGCGCCCGAAAGCCAAGAAAACCAGAACTGCCTAGATCGCAAGCAAACCCCCATGACCTTAAATGGAAACCTCAATCAGGTGGAACAGCGTTATGCTCTACTCCCTGCGACAGGAGGCTGCTTCTGTGGCATATTCCGGTCCCTGCTTTGTGGTGAGGGCTTTGCCCATTGAAGGTTTGGGCTTTTAGCCTGGGAGGAGCAAGGAGCAGTAGCAGTACCTGCGTTGACATTAGTAACAGTGGGAGAAGTAGCAGCCATTTCAGTCCATTTGTAGTCGGAAGCTTTGACAAAAACATTAAAAATTAGTCGCTGGGCCGAGTTGCATCTCTTCGCGGAAACCGCAAGGTCGCTGGACTGAAGCAGGGAAGTGGAGTAGGACGGGTGTGTAGAGGCTCCGTCGACTGGGCTGCCATGGCCTTGGTGTTGTGGGGGTGGAGCCTCAGCCGCATGCCACCACCCCGAAAGCCAACGGAGGCTTGTGGAGATCAGGATCTACCACCGGCTTTCCCGATTGACGAGGATCTGCATGTTCAGCCTCGCCTCAGCGATGGGTGCCAGCCTCTCTTGCTGGATGGAGGCGAAATGTGCCGACGAGCCCGCATGGATACTGGTGAATTTGGGGTGCCTTCATTGGAAACTCGACAATCCTACTTCTCCAACAGTATGCCAACAAGGCCCGAGCCCCCTGCGCCGCCCAACCGCATCTTGCACAACCACCACAAGGTTCTTGTCGAGAACATGATGAAGGACTGGTTACCCTTCCTTGACAACAATTTTTCTCTGGTAGCTGCTTCACGTCACAGTGCATGAGGGCTTGCCGTGTTTTAATCGTGATTGACCTCTGTATAAGCACTGTGTAGCTGGCAGTCAAACAGAGCCATACAGCTGAGTGGGTAACCCTTCCCCGTTGGATCTCCGTGAGGTTGTGTGTGTGTGTGTGTGTGCGTGTGTTCTATCCATATAAAATATATGCAAGTATATACATATATATATATAGATACACATACTTGCACACGCACATGTTCGCACACACACACACACA